GATCTAATTATTATGATTATATATAAGGTTCCGAAATAAATAACTCGATCTTAAAAATCGATTACATGGTGGGCATCACACGCTCAAACATGTTTCTGATCAATTTATACTTTTCCAGATAATGTTGGATTACGTCTGAAAATCTCGAAATTAAATAGGTGGTAGGAATATCAATATTCTATCCGGGTCACTATCAATCGACCATAGATGAAAAGCCGTGAAATTTAATCGCGTTTCAGTCTGTGGATTTTTAAATAACCAAAGCCAAAATAGATCGACAGCACATCTTATTGAAATGTTATAGGGCTGGGCTAATTTCCCATTCCATCAATCCCACGTCTGTCCTCCTCTATCAAATAAAAAGACATTTCGATTAAGTTGAGAACTTTAATTAAACCAGCTTTGTCGTGAGCATAATTAAAATTCGTTCGAGTCTAAAATACTTTGTCGGAACCGTAAGGTAGAGCCAATCAAATATTCATCTAATATCGCCGGACTTAACTTCGAATAACACAAGATAAATTACTTGAACGCAACAGTTTCAAGTTATTTAATGTTCAGTTAATTAAGGGTGAAGAATGGTTTTTGCGAGTTCCACGCAAATTAGTTTGAAGCTGCCGGGTAAACAATACGTAATATAGAGGAGTGATGAGTTGGAATAACTAATGAGTTTTGTACGCTGTGTTTCATATAGAATAGCGTATGGAATCTATACTATATATAAAGCTGAAGAAATCATTTGTTCGTTTGAACGCCACTATCTCAGGAACTACTCGTTCAAATTTTAAATTATTTTTGTGTTAGTTAGAGCATTAATCAAAGAAGACTATAGGCTATAAAATATTGCGCTGTGATTAATAGGAGCGAAGAAACAGCGGGAAACGTATAAAAAAAACGGGGAAAATTATTTTAAATTTCGAAGCGAAAACGGATCTTGTCAAGATACTGAATCATTCTTTTATTCAAAAAAAAAATATCCCCGACAGTAGGTATATGTCTATCTTTTGAGATTAACTTGAATTAACGTCGTGGATAACCACTGAAATCTATAAAGATGAAGAGATTTGCAAAATCAAATTTTGATACATAAAATAACTATTCTATATGGACGTAGTCGCTAACTAGTACAGAAAATAAATACTGTCTATAGTTTACGCGAGTAGTACACATTTAAATATAACACTTTAACGATTTAAAACGCGATATAGTAGTTCAACTTATTTGAAAATGATTTTTAACTTCAGCCCGACGTTTCGGATACTTTGCAGCAGTCTCCCCGTGACCACGGCTGCAAAGCATCCGAAATAAGATAAGTTTCAACTAATAACAGAATGTGTGTAATCTATAATCAAAATATAAGAAGTTGAATTGAATTTTTAATAACTTCATTATATTTTAATTATTTAACAACCACCTCATAATATGTTGTGAAAAGATTATTTAAAGTTATATTATACTTGCGAAGACTTGAACTAAACTAGAGTACCTATTCTATTCATAACTTTTAACAAAAATTAGTAAGTATAACTTTTTAGTTTAAATTAGAGCATATTGAAATCTGAAAACATTAATATTTTTCACATGTAATTGCACATGAAGGCACTATATAATTTAAAAATCGAAAATAAATGAGCAACAGACGGAAGGCTGCGATGCCGTTCAAGTCCTGCCCGAGTCGAAATTTTTTAAAATTATATTGAAATCTTTTATTGTTTCTTCTTTTGTCGCAAACAATGTTTTTAGTCGCAGCAAGACCTCTGCTTTTTACTAACAATAATCTAGTCTTCTAAGAAACATTTAAAATCGACTATTCGTTCAAGTGAAACACTTTCTTTACTTAAATATATCGCGTAAACTACAGAATAGTCTTACACTTAATACAGTCAGAAGTCGGACTCTAGATGAAGGGCATAACTCTCTTAGTCCTGTCGTATTCGTTAAAAATAAGCCTAAACATTTTCAGTTCTAATCGTCTGTTGTTTTTAGAACCTAAAGTCATAAAGCAGTAACAAATTGCCTTTGTGGCTTACGTCGTGATGTTTATTATTTCTACGTAAGGGATTTTGCTCGCAGTAATAAGGAAATATACGGAGCGGTAATAATTAATCTTTGTTTTAGAAAGCTGCAGCGAATGGCTTTTAGTTCTTGTTAAAATTAATAAGTTCCTGGCGTTTCAGATAAATATGACTAACTGGAAATATTGGGACTTAAAATACGCTTTATTTTACGTGCTTTTTAATATTTAATCATTAAATAAAACATAGCTTATTGCGGATTAAAAGGTAAATTATATTAGTTAATATATTTAACTACGATGTTTCGGCTGCTTTACAGTATTCCTAGTAATACGGCGAGGAGAGAAATAAGTAATAAATAGGTACAGTTCGCTTTTGAAACGATATAAAGTGTTTTATTTTAAATAATTATTAGATTTAAATAAATAAAACATTAACGGTTTAGAACGCAAAATATATTAGCTCGAGTTATTTATAAAATATTTTGACTTTAGCCTGACTTGTCGGATGCTTTGCAGCCATGGTCGTCGGTCTCCTCGTTTTAAAATGTTTTTAAACCGTTAAAGTTTTTATTTAAATGTGTACTACTAATGTAAACTATAGTCAGTATTTAATTATTAGATTATAAAAAATCATTTATAATGTGAAAACAATATATATCTTTTGTGCAAATAATACTATTCCAAAAACGTTAGCCCTACTTCTTGTTGCCTTGCATGTTATTAAGCCTAAAAGGTTCCGAGTTCGAGTCCTAGGTTATATATTATACTACAGATAATTAGATCAGTAAAACGGACTTGAACGTAAGTATGTCCAATGCCCCACAAACGGGGAATTCACACTTACTGAACAAAGACAATTATGACCTATAGAGATTATTGAAGCATAGTGCATTCGCCTAAATAATTTACCTGCATTGATGGACTTCCATTCCGACAACGCGCATTCAGGAAACATGACAATTAGAATGTTTGATTGAGATTCATTAACCTAAGCAATAATAAGCTTGTAAGGAATTAACGTCCAAAATACATCCTATACATACTATAATCTATACTAATATATAAAGCTGAATATTTTGTTTGTTTGAACGCGCTAATATCAGGAATTACTGGTCCTAATTAGACAATGTTTTCGTGTAAGTTATAGCATTTATCGAGGAAGGCTATAGACTGCAACATCGCGCTGAGAGGAATAGAAGGGTAGTAAAGTAATATGATAACAAGTATCAACTTAAAAACACTTATATGTTTATTTTTTGTGCACTTAAAACAACAAAAATAAATTTGACAATCATCGTGTTTAACTAGTGTAGCCCCTTCATTTAATACCCATATTGAGGGGGTTAAGGAATAATTTGTAATCCGCCATTTTGTATCGACGGCCATCTTGAATTTATAATGTTTTTATTATATTATGTTGTCATCTCAATTAAATGTGTGCACCAAATTTCAGATCAATCTGACAACCGGAAGGTGCTTAGATTTCAATTTCCTATTTTGACCCAAATAAATAAATTCTGTACGGATCGAAGTAAAAAAAAAAAAACCGTTTAAAACGGGGATTTTTCTAGGTTTCCGATGCGTACGCTACGCAAACGGTTCAAGATACCCAAAAGACATGTATGATAGAATGATTCTTGATGAATGATTTGAAAAATGTCCGCGGCACTATATGTCTATCCTTTAAGATTAACTTGCAAAAACGACGGGGCTCGACCGACATCGTGGTTAACAACATATAATTAAAACAAAGATAAGATTTGTAAAAACAAATTAGGGTGCCAAGTCGCTGACACAGCTAGTTCTATGATAAACGTTCATTTCCAGTAGAGTTGCTTTAAATTCATGTCTAAAAAGACAGGAAAAAATCCCTAGCTTTATTGTTTTTTCTAATTTGACAAGAATATGCTTTACAGCAAAACAGTTATTTACTTTAAAGTACAACAATTATTATTTTCTTTGGGGCTGAAATATGTCATCGCTGTAGACAACAAACACATTTTTTGCATTTATATTTGTTACATGGGTATAATTAAATTGGTCTTCACTTTGCTTTATTACCTTTTATTCATTCAAACGTTTTAGATCAAATTGAATAATAAAAATGTTTACACTAATTGTTTCTGAAAAAGTATCGAAAAACTATAAAAAAAAATCCTTTCAGTCAGTTTAATGCTAGGTTAGTCGCATTAAACAAAATCAATAAAAATTGATTAATGTTTTTTTCGTAAATTAAACTGCTCAATATATAAACGTTTAGTTTAAATTATTGGTGCCAGGTTTATATATGGGCAAAACTTTGTTTTAACTTTATTTAGCTTCGGTTAAGCGGGCACAAAATAAAAATCAATTGGGAAACAGATATAAAAATGTATCTGCCCCTTACTCCACAGAGGGGCAACAGGATTTCTCTCTTCTATGCTGGTAGTACGTAAGTGCTAAGCTATGTTAAGTAAAATTTCACATAAAAATATAGACTTTTTGTGTGAAATTTCGACGAATAGCTTTTTTTATAATGGAGAAGGACAGGAAAGCATGGGTTTTACTCGATGAAGGTTGAAATACCTAACTCGAGTTTCTCTTTGAATATTCCGAAAACTACACAATTAAATTTCAGCGGCGGTGGTTCATGACCCTGACGAAATTCCTACCCCCCATTTCATTTTCATTGATTAGTAACAGTTTGGATATGGTGGGATTCGAACCTTGATTATTCGCCATACATTACTACAATTAGACCGCAAGAGATTGAATTTCGAGCCATTCCTAGTAATACAATTGCCCTAAAACTCACCTGTTCAGTAATTACGAGACGTTGTGAAGAAATTGTTTTTTTCCTTATCAAACAATGGAGTATTGTGTGAAATGAAAGTATATAAAACACTCCGATCGCTATTTGACAAGCAAGGGAGGCTTTCAGTTGATTGCCTAACAGCGTGACATAATGTTAAAAATATAACTAGAGTTAAGAAATATAAGGAAAATGAAATGTGAGTATCATTAATAACTTTCGAGAAGAGTAATTTTGTTGAGGGATATAAGATATAAAATAGGGTACCTTTTTTATTGTAACACCAAAACACATGTAGCAATGCCTAACAATTGTAAAATGTATCTAGAATCCGTGTACCTATGTGAAAAAATATATTATACATACCCTGTCTATAGTTTACACGAAGAGTAACACCTTAACGGTTTAAAACGCGATATATTAGTTAAACTTATTTGAAAATGCCGTGGTCACGGGGAGACTGCTGCTGCAAAGCATCCGAAACGTCGGGCCGAAGTTAAAAATCATTTTCAAAAAACTTTAACTAATATATCGCGTTTTAAGCCGTTGAAGTGTATTATACATATTATGTGTATACTGTTTATAATTATTATTGAGAAAAACGTTGATATGCCTGAAGTAAGTATATTTTTCATTACATTACCAATGAGATATTGTTTCGATAAGTTTCTTTCTATTTCCAGTATCTCTCATACTGGTTAATTAATAAGCAGCATTGTCCTTTGTCAATCCGAAACACTGAAGAATTGTTAATACAACTCAGAAACCTACCAAACTTTATCTTTCAGCGTGCCTCATAGCCGTGTCATTTATCTTGTCAGTGGGTTGCTACAAGAATAAATTCCTGTCGCAAAACTTAGATTCGGAGCCCTCTCTATCGATCCTCTACGCGCGCGACAAGAAAAGTGACGTGGTGACAAATGAATGCCTTATGGAAATGTACCCGAAGAACCTCTACAAGTACCCCTTGCATATAGACAGGAACGACGTGTCCTGCATCATACACTGTGTGCTAAAGAAGTTCGGTATTATGACCAACGATGGAGTGATCAACATACACAACTACTATCGCCGAGTGCAGGCCATACATAGATACGATCCGAGAGTTTTAATATCTGACGTAGGAGAAACCTGCGCTCAGAATATCAATGGAATGAATTTAGATCACGATGTATGTAAAAAGGCAAAAGTGTTCAATGATTGTACGCAACTGTATGTAATATCCTTTAGGGATAGTCAACGGTGATTCACGAGCAATTTGTAATTGTATATGTTGTTATTTTTATATTTTGGATAAAAAAATGATAACGATATTAGCGCGTTTTATTTGAAAACTATTTATCTCGACAATATCGTATTTTATATGTTGTTATAATTATATAGTAATGAATAATAGTATTTTAGCTTTCTCTAAGAATATTATTTACGAATGAGACTAGTGTAAAATTTTAGTCAAATGATTTTAATACTATATACTTACATATGGAGTTTTTTTCTGTATACATAACGAGTTTCGTTTTGTATACATCACTGTACATTTCCTTAACTAGAAGACTCATTTATCTATCGCTTACGATGTAATTAGTATGTAGGCACTTTTATTATTAATAGACCGGAAGAGAGTAGCCGCCTACAATGTAATTAGTTATACTTAATGTATATTCTACCTGTAAGAATAACCTCCGTTGAACTTTCGAAGTTTGTCAAAAGAATAATTACTGAATATAACTTTTCCAAGATGTTATTGTTTAAGGATATCTTGACAAAGAATAATTTTCGTTATTGATCTTAATAAAACCATAAATATATATAACTTTAAGACTTCTTTAATAACAAGACCGTCTGGCAGTAATATGAATTTCTCCTGTTAATAAATTTACAGAAATGTATTAGTTTATAAGACATATTTAAAAAAGCCGGACTGAGTTTCTTAGGTATTCTTAGTTATGTTGCTCTTTTGAACACTCTGTAGAATCACGACGAACAGACAGACAAACGAAAAAAAAATTGACGAATCTAAATAATTTTTTAAATTTTAAAGAGAATAAAATACATTTTAATTTTATATTTTTTAACTTAACATAAACTTGGCTTCAAAACCAACCTTAATATTTTCCACAGCGTTCCATGCCGTGTCGTTAATTTTTTACAATCTAAAATCGATTTTTGGTTTAAATTTTAAATTTGCTTAATTAATATTTCATAAACTAAATTTCTTATATGTGACTCTATGTCACTTTGATATGGGCGTGCTGCCTTAGCGATAAACTCAGTTCAGGGTTGAAATCCCCGGGGAACGTAATAAATTGTTTTGGTAGAGAGAGAGCAGCCGACCACCTACTCGCAAATAATAGATTACTGAATCTAACATGTTACTTCTTACATTTTCAGCATTGGCTTATCTATTTTTGCTGTTTATCAGCGGGACGTACTCTCGTATATCAGTAATGTATGCACATGATAAGACTTCGGATCTAATAGCAGAACAGTGCTTAACAGAAATGTATCCGAAGGGAAAGAAAGTGGATCTGCAAGAATCTGACGAATCTTGCATAATCTTCTGCGTCCTGAAGAAGTTTGGTATCATGAACGTCAATGGACAGATCAATTTAGATATTTATAGGTATTAACTTTTAATTTTACACGGTAATATGTCTGTACTTGTGCACACTACCTTACAAATTAACTTAATTGAATAAAACACTTTGACCGCCTCTTTAGCCAAATGGTTAAAGTATTGCCTAACTTATTAATTTGTGTAATTAATAAATTTAAATTGGATTTTTTAGATTGTAATATTTCTTTCATACTAATTGTTTGTGGTTTTTGAACTGTTTCCGTAGCGCACGAAATAGAATCCCTAAAAAATTAATAATTTTTCCCGTTCTTCCTATTTAGGTAAAATTCCGACAAATTCTACTTTTTTTCTTCTTCGATCCTATTCGTCGCACGATTCAGGCCGTTTTTGATCCAATACAAAGTATTTTTTCAATTCGAACCGGTTTTTTCAAATTAACGCCTTTTAACACACAAACAAACTCTCAAACGTTATAATATTAGTATGGATATGTTTTAAAATAAAAATTACTGTTTCTTGACATCGTACTAATATTTGAAATCTTTAATATTTTCCACAATTTTTTTTTTTATATTCTAGAAAAAGAGTGCAAATCGCCCATCAGCTAGACAACAGGAGTGTGATGGGTGATAATGGCGCATCTTGCGTGGAGAGTGCAGAGGCGACTCAACATAAACAAGACGTGTGCAAGAAGGCGAAGGTTTTTAATGACTGTACGCATCTATACCGAATCCTGCTTTAATATAGCGTGTATTTTTAATGATTATAGTTGACTGCATTATAAATAAAGACGTCATTCTGTGTTTGCTATTTACTCACCGTGGAGAGTTAAATTAAAAGTGTTCCTGTTTTTCCTGTGGGTCATAGGGCGTAAATAATTCTCTGTCTGTTTCATTGATCGGTATTAATTACAGGCTTCTTTGCTAAGTCCGAACGAAACAATCTATTGTTTCCACGGGGTTCGGATCCAGGACCTCTAGGCACGTTCAAACATTTAGCTGGAGATGTGGTCATTTAAAATTAAATTTTTGTCAATATTACATATTTTAAACTAAAGTATAGTTTATTTTAAATTAGATTTTAAAACCAGGCACAAGAAATAATTATACACTAAACTAAGACTTAAGTCTTATGCTATATGCTGCATATAACCTACCTTACTACTTCTACATCAGAGTATTGCAGTACAGTTGAACATTTTCTAGGAATACGTAGCTTCGGTTCCTACGCAAATGAAATGACGACTTATATGGGGTTCATATGAGTCGGGGTGAGATATGATAGAATGTATTCGGTATGGGATATTTAGTTGTGTTGAAGATCACAAACACGAAATAAAGCGATACAGACCTTAATCAACGCTTAATAGTATCACTTCGGTGTATCTTAGATAAAGTGCACAGCGTTTGAATCCGAGAAACGTTCGTAAATAAAATGCCTTCACAATTTTTAATAAAAATCCCGCGGAACGACGTCAAACGGCGGCTCGTTACCGTGTGTACGGTTTCAAAGGCGGTAATTGCAAGTAAAGTGAGACCGACTGAGCCCCTTCCTATAAATAAATCTTAAATATCGCTCCCAAGAGACCAGATTATATTTTTAGTCTTTTCGTGTTATTAATTTTTTCCGCTACTATATTTTGAGGTGTCAAGTTACTAGCACGGTAGATGGAAATGTTGTATAAACGAAACCTAAATATATTGTAAAATTGCGTTTACGAGCGGATAGAGTTGACACACTTCTGTGTCAATTTCTCCATCTATTCATCTATAGAAAACATTTATAATAATTCTATGCCCTACCAGATCATGACATGTCTTTAGGATTTAAATCCGGACTCTGTGCCTAATTTTATTTGAAAATTTAACTAAGCAACTCTACTCTGTACTCGAAAGTTTTAAAGTGCACTAGAGAGTAGATAGATAAACTTACATAGTATTTTATATATTTTTTTAAATTTTGTATTTATTCTAAGTAGTAAGTAAGGTAAAATAAGTTATTTTATTTATGACAGAGCACGCGATACGCATGGGCCTCACTTAATGGAACTTCCGATTAAGTGACATCCAACTCCACCACTATACCTACCAACCCCACCACTATACCTAAAGTATCCCAGTCATATAAGCCCAGATGCGCTTTCTTCCTGTTTTGGCATTGAATCTTCGGAAACGCGATTCAACTTCACGGTCATCAGAGGTCAGTAAGCGTAAGCGGGACAGAATTTTCGACATTCCTACTACCCATTTATAATCCATGTTTCCAGACGTCTAACATATTTCAGGAAAAAATATAAATTGATTTAAACATGGACGCGGTGGGGCCGGAAACCAGCAACGGTTAATAATTACATTAGCTATATAAAATGCTGCCATTAGACCAAGGAGGCCGTAAATAGTCTGTAATGATAAAATATACATAGGTACATTTCAAAGCTTATATATTTTGGCAGCCTATCATATATATTTCCCTAAGTCAAAAACGTGAGACGCCCTCTCTTTGACACGCTTCTTATTCAAATATTGTTCTTAGAATTACCTCGCAGTGTAAACATCGTGAAATAGAAAAACATCTTCCGACACGAGTTCAGATATGGAACAACATAACAAGGACACTGTCACGTGAAAAATATCCTTTCACGTCACTTCACAGCGTAAATGCACGTAGAACGACTTCGTTGCAGAGATACGGCGGATTATCTCGGGAATTTTATAATGGCGTGAATACTTTGTGAGTATTTAGAGTTTGGATCTTGGCATTTTGCTTTTGTGCTGGTTCTAGGACTCTTTAAAGATCGAAATCTTTATTAACTAAAGAAAAACAGGTATAGACTAAGAAGTATGCTAAGAAAAATAAGTAGTTTCTGTAAATATAAAATGCTAACAGAGAAACTAAGGAAATAAGCAGTATGTTTAGGCGTTATATCACATTAAATACTGTCTGTAGTTTACGCGAGTAGTACACATTTAATAAAATACGTTACGAAAATACGTTACCTATAATTACTATATTTTCCATTTTAAACCATTAAAAGTGTTATATTTTAGATATTGAATAAGTCTGCTATCTAATTTTCGGTTCAAACGTTTAATACTCGAAATAGATTAGTTAAGCTTATAGGAAATTGATTTTAACTAAGACCCGACGTTGAGATGTTTTGCAGCAGCCATGACCACGGCGTATATTTCGCGTTTTGAATCGTTTAAGTGTTGTATTTAAATAAATTACTTTACAAAAGGTTATAATTATGAAAGTGGAAATGTATTTTGGTATATGTGTAGGTAAATTTTACGGATTTGAATTTAATTATGTTTTCCTCAAGATTCGAAGTCAAGAATTCTTACTTTAAAGTCTTATCGACGAGTACAATTAAAAAAAGATATGTATCTACAAAACACTCCTGGATAACTTTCTTATGCAGTTGTAGAAATAAGATAGTTATTATAAAAGGCAGTTAAAGTACAATTTTATTTCCAAGTTTTGAGCAAGTTGGATGTAACGACAGGATCAGAGCTTATTCTCAGTGAACTTTCAAAGCTCTTTGACAACTTGGGTTTGCAGCCATTCAGGCGCGACTCGAGTCCTCGGCAAATATTCCAAGACAAAGTTTTTGAATCTAATTCCCTGATTAATTCATATGGGGGTATTTGTCTTGAGGGAAAGAACGGGCCAAGTTTGACGAATCCGTCATTCTAAAATATCTACCAATGAGATTCAGTGTTTGATTTGAATGATTGATCATTGGGAATAATTTGATTCGAGTCAACACGACTAACAAAAGAGTACGACAGTTAATAATGAATTCAGTTAGTAAAGAAAAGTTTCCTAAGCATTATACGCTTCCGAAATGGTGAAAAGTTTTTGTGTGAAGAAAGTGATAACAAGAGAAAAACAAAAATGGGGTATTAATCGAATCTTGATACAGAAAACTTTAATATCTTTCACATGATTACAATATACACCAGCAGCGCTGAACGAAGTTGATGCCGTGCCCTGCCCGTGTCCATTTCTTTCCAATCTAAATAGATGTTTAATTTACAGACAACCTTATAAGGGACTTTCGTCATCATCGATCATAGGGTCATTAAATAAAAAAGAAATCATATTAAAACATAAAAACCAGATGTCCAAACATTTCTATAATCATTTTAAAGCGAAAGATTTTAAAATTAAATATTTACATTTTTATTTATTTATATATCAAACACTTCAAAACACTTAAAAATTATGCAATTAAGAAAAAACGTGTATGATGAAGGACACACAAGAGATTTTTAAACATACAATTAAGAAACAACGAAGAGGCAAATAATTAGTTCAGAAATGGCATTTTTTATTATATCATATTATGGGAGTTAAATCTAAATTATGAAATTCGATAAACCCAGATCCTACCATGTTACTCTAACATTCTAATACGTTACATTTCAATAAATTGAAACACATTCCAACCTCAGCTTGTGCATATTAATTTTCGACTTGACCTTTGCTAATATCAGCTCTGGGACAAAACTAAATGTGTCTGCATGGGACAGTTGAATATGTATGAATATGGAATTATTTATTTGACTATGAGAAACTATATAACTCCGTGATGTTAGACTAAATTCGGGATCCGTGGGGAATAATTAGGACATATGTAATGTAAATAAATTTGTACGTAAATTGTTTAATAAGTCAATTGTATTTTTGCCATGAAGTAATTTTATTTTAAGACGTAACAAATCAAATAAAAATAAACATTAAATTCTATTATACACATACTTGTTTCAAATAAAATACTTCACTTGAGAGCTAATATAACTCTTAACTTGTACCTATATGAAATGAGATATTACCAGCTTATATTTCAAATATTATTAGGAAACGGGACACTAAAGCTTTTTTAGATTTCATTATCACTTATCCGCTTAATAGCTGCGAAATAACAAACATAGCAATCTTCTGTATCCAGCACCAAATGGAACAGCTCTTTTTCTGAACTTCCTCTTCCTCTTCCGCCATCGTCGTGCCAGCAATGGTCGTTTCATCTTGACAGAAGCAGCATGACGTCACTGATATTGCCACCATAAAAAACAATACAAATTTCAACGCGGATATTTTGTTTGTGAACATTTTTTATTTACTTTGATGGAAGTCGGCTTAACTCAAAGCGTAATTTATAAATGATGCGAAATGGACGAGTGTCCCATATAATTGAGATATAAATCTGCCCTCGGATTTTGTGCAGCAATTTATTTCCCATTATTCTGTTATTATGAATAATACCGATAGTCATTTCGGTTTATTGTGCAATAATTTTAAGAGATTTTAATCTATTGATATGCCTTTCAGCGTACTCTGTGAAATTATATAATGCCAGTATTCATTTAGCAACTGCATGCAACTCAAGGAGGCATATTATATTAATATCATATTATTTGTTGGTATGAGTATTCACTCCAATTGTTAAAAGTCTAACTCAGATATAACTTATATCTGTAATTTACGCGAGAGAACACTTAGAAAAAAATACATTTTTAACTGCTTATAAAGGACATTAAAAAGATTATTTAATTAATATCTACAACCTGGACAAGGACTCGGTAGCTCAATTGATAGAGCAACAGCACGGAACGCTGACGATGCCGGTTCAAGTCCTGCCCGAATCGAAAAAATTTTCAATTTATTTTGAATTTTTAAATTAAAATCTACAACCTGGTTTGGCTATGATACCCACCTCCTTAAGTTGTCGATCAGTAA